ACACATGGGTTAAAATCAAAACTCAAGAGGTACAAACTTTCACTGAACACATCAATTCAGTGGACAGAAACATCAAGTTCACAAGAGAAGATGTTAAGGAGAAAAGTTTGCCCTTCTTGGATTGTGACGTGCACATTACAGAGGACAAAGGCCTCCACATTGGGGTATACAGGAAACCCACTCACACAGACGAATACTTACTGTTCGATTCTCACCACCCACTGCAACACAAGCTAGGTGTTATCAGGACCCTACAACACAGAGCTGATAACGTACCTACCAGCACTCAGGCCCAAGGGAAAGAGCATGAACATCTGAGGGAGGCTCTAAAAACTTGTGGTTACCCCAGTTGGACCTTTGTGAAATCAGCAGCCTGTTCCAGAAAGAACAAGGTGGGTGAGGAAGAAAAGAGTAAGCGCAATAACATTGTCATCCCCTATGTGTCTGGGGTATCTGAAAAACCCAGGAGGATTTTCAGCAAACACTGCATCCCTGTGTATTTCAAACCCAGTAACACACTCAGACAAAGACTGGTACACCCAAAAGACCGTACACCACACACTCAGAAGAGCAACCTAGTGTACGCTGTCCAATGCAGTCAGGAATGCCCAGACTTGTACATTGGTGAAACAAAACAACCACTAAACAAACGCATGGCCCAACACAGAAGGGCTAACTCGTCAGGGCAAGGCTCAGCTGTCTATCTACACCTCAAGGAGAAAGTACACTCCTTCAAAGACAGCAATGTGCACATTTTGGACAGGGAAGACGGGTGGTTTGAAAGAGGTGTAAAAGAAGCCATCTATGTGAAATTGGAGAAGCCATCTCTCAATAGAGGAAGAGGTCTGCGACACCACCTATCCCCCACCTATAATGCTGAACTTTCATCCTTGCCCAGGAGGTTTAACAACTTAACCTCTAAAAACAATGGTCGTTCACAAATGGCCTCATGTGACTCTAACGACTCCAATTGCAGCGTTGCAGCAGGAGTTTCAACGACTGTCGTTGACACACCATTGGAGCACTAACGAACCAGTGACATCATTGGCCTTGTGAAGACCTCCCCAGAGGTTAAATACCTGGGTGCTTCCACACCAGGTTGTCAGACTAGTTCCAGCCTAGTCAGACAAGCATGAACTGAAGAAGCCTCTTGGATAAGAGGTGAAACGTCTTCTAAGACAAAACCAAGTCCAGTTGCGTTCGATTCAATTGACTTGACATAACTATGACCTGGATGAATGAGAATATCCACAGGCACTGAGGGAAATGGTTTCAGTCTGTCAGTCTGCGTCGCTGTGACATGTAGGTACATTTCTGGTGGGGTGCACATCAGGCTACTGCATAGGGTATGGTGTAGTCGATTCGACGCAGAAGTATAAATCCTGCATTACGCTTACTAGACTGGCTGAGTGGCAGATTATGAATTCCAGCTCCTGTGTCAAAGTCATGTGCTTCATTGACCCACCCAACCATCAAACTAGTCCGTATGACATTTGTGCTGCTCAGAGATGCCACCCTTTCTGGTTAAGAAGAACATCACTTTTTCCCCACGTTAAAGGGTTTTTTTGGGGAGTTCTTCCTTATCCGCTGTGAGGGTCCAAAGGACAGAGGGATGTTGTATGCTGTAAAGCCCTGTGAGGCAAATTGTGATTTTATAAATAAAATTGAAAAAAAAATTGAAATTAAACACAGTCTAGACAGCAATTATGTTTCCTCAGAAATGTATTTTGCAGATATTTTGTAGGAAAAGGATTGCTAGAAAGTGATGCTGCTCTCAGTCTGCTTCCCTCGTCAGATGAGACTTAAATGAGCATGTGCAACTGTTTTTATGCTCATATTTGATTAAGCCGGGTCATATTCGTGCCATATGTAAATGTAGGTTAGTGTGTTTAAGTGTTGTTTTGCGAGTCTCTGTGCAGATTTTGGGCTGTGTGGATGAGATTGATGTCAAGTAGCCTGATGCCTCTCCTCCAAAAAATGAATATATTCATGTTTTGGAGGAGAGCAGTGGGGCAGAGAGGGAAGGTGTGTGTGTGTGTAGTAGGAGCTGCTTCTCTCAATACAGCCCTGGAGCAACACTGTGTCTCAGAGAGGGGGAGAGAGGCTTTCTGAGCATTAAAACACACAGGGAAGAGTCAAAGTCACTGCAAGGACATGTTTACACAAATCCATGTTTTGCTGTGTTGTTAAGTGTGTGTATATCTCTACAGCATAATGCAGTGGTTCTGTTTAATCCTGACTCCTATAGAATACATTCACATACCACTAGCATCCTTTGCTAAATATGCTTAGGAGGAAATATAATTGTTGCCCAAATCACTTGCATTGCAAGCATTTTTTAAAGTCCAAGAAGTGTCACATTCTTATACTCTTGAGTCCTGTACCCCACATTTTGTTCATTTAAGGCTACTTAATCATGTTGTTAAATCAGGGGAAGAAGAGACTTCCACTAAGATTAACCACAAAACCTTTAATCATCAAAACATTAATCATGCTTTGTTGCTCGGAGCAGATATTGCACTGAAAACAAATGAAATATGTTGATAGTAAATGTTTTGCAGATACAGTTCAAGTGCGACCTCATTATGTTGATATTTACAATGTTTATGTAGGGAAAAATCATAAATATTTGCTAGGTGACAGGGTTGTAATGTTTATGTTAGGTTTATTTCTTTATTTTCTTAGGGTCCCCTTTAGCGGTGCCCTCTAGCACAGCTAATCTTCCGTCGGGTCCATGTTTTAAAAGCATACTAAACATTACAGTCAACACAAATCAACACTTTCAAACACATACATTAAACATTATGGTCAACACAAAGTTACACATTGAAAACACATTACAGTTCACACAAATCAACATGTTCGTAGATGGTGTAAACATTATAGTCAACATAAAACAATACATTTCAAAACATACATTAAACATGACTGTGAATACCAATGGCAATCATAAGACATATATTAGAGATTAACATTAATATATGTGATAAATGAATGTATGCATGTATAAGTATATGTGTATGTTGCTAGTTAACTGCTAAAGGAAGTTGCATTGAGTTATATTACGATGTGTTCAAGCTCCATTCAGTAAAAATAAGTACTGGGCTTAGGTAGATAAAAACAGTTCTCATGATGTGTTCAAATGCAATCTTATAAAAATATAGTTTTTGGCAAGAACAGCTGTTTGAATGAGACATTTGTTGATGTTTTTTAACATCCATATAAAATAGAAATTATAGAGGGAATTAGAATTTATTACGGATAGTGAAAAGACTTTTGCAGCATTTAAAAAAAAAATGTTTTTCATGTGAAAGGTTATTTAAAAGGTTGTCTCATAAATTTGTATGACTGAATTTGTGTTCATCTAAAGGTTGTGTAATGAAGGGCAGCTGTGGCTCAGAGGTAGAGTGGCTTGTCCACTAATTGAAAGATTGACAATTTGAGAGTCAAAGTATCCTTGGGCAAGATACTTAGCCCCAAATTGCTCCCAGTGGCTGTTTCATTGGTGTGTAAGGGCGTGTGAAGCCAGTGACTTTAAAACAGTTCTTTTTTAAAAAATTCTTCTTTGTTTCTTTGTCACAAAAATCAAATAAATAACAAGAAAAACAAAATAAACAACAACAACAACAAATTGCCAAATTGTTATTATAAACACTGGCATTAGCCCAGAATTTACCAATTGATGCACCCCTACTCAGTTGGTTTTCAAGAGACCATTTTCCAATAAATTTTACCTCACTGTTCAAGATGGCGGTCAGATCTGCCGGTGTTATTGCTAATGCACATACTGTAGTGTCATCTGCATACATTGGTAACTTAGCATTTTTTGTACGGGTAGTAAATTGTTGGTAAATATGTAATAAAAAAAAGTGGGCCTAGACAGCTCCCTTGGGGAACTCCACATTCTGCAGACACACTGAGTAACTTCCATAAAGACTCTCTGTGATTTACCACATAGCTTTCCATCCAGGCAGCTGCAGATGCTCAAAATCTGTAATACTTGTGTAGTTTGGAAAAAGTCAATGAAGCATGAAGATGGGGGTTATCTTCATCTTTCCTGGAATACTGCATCGGGCCTGGTCTTGAGTTTAATGCCAGATTTATTAATTTATCTCTGACAAGATATCATTTGATTGGATTATAAGCAGAAAATACTTTTTTATCTCAGTGTGACATTTTCTTGACATGCTGTATCCACTTAAAGCCTCTCTGACAGCAGATATTGCATTCAGATATTAAACTTGTTGCAGAGTGATTCCATCGCTAAATATAAGATAATCTGTCACGAACGCTGAGGAAATACTCCAGTGTGTCCTTCCTGTTTGAAATAATGGACAAAGATGATAGATACAACTTTATTATTCTTCCTACTCGTGCGGTGGGTCCCGGCTGATGAGCCAGGGGCATTGTCTTGTAGATATAGGCCGCTGAAGTGCACAGTTGTAGCTCAAACCACAGTGCTAAATCAAAAAGGATCACTGGAGGAGCTGGATGACCTTGAGATATTAGCAGGCCGGATTACCAAGGTTGTACATTATTATTCCTCAGATGGATCTGAGGTTGAATTGAAGGATGGATGAAAGAGCAAAGTGATGAAAAAGGGATGAGAAGATGAATGGATAGCAGTTAAGGAGGGAAGGGTTTTTAACCTCTCATTAAACTTAAGTCTGATGGATGGATGAAAAAGAGGAGATGGGGGAGCGATGATGAAAACAGGAGAATTATGGGCGTCTCTTTGCCCTCATGTATCCTGTAGGTCTTGGAGAGAAGGTGGCTGATTGAATGACTCAAAAATCTCTTTTGGTTTGCCACTCTCATCTGCTCCGACCTGATGGAGTGGTAAATAATCCTCTCAAAGTTTTGCATAATTCGTCTCCTGTTATAATGTGACGTCGAGTGATTTTGGTGAAGCTCCCGTCTCTCGGCTGTCTGTGTCTGTCTTCCCTGGTTCTACCCTTTCTACTGTTGTAACTCATGTCTCCTTCTCCTTCTCTTCACAGAATAACTTTCTGCCACCTGCCCTTCCAGAGTAAATGGTTGTACATCGGCACAGAACGAGGGAACATCCACATCGTCAACGTGGAGTCCTTTATGCTCTCAGGCTACGTCATCATGTGGAACAAAGCCATTGAACTGTGAGTGTTGCTGCCCACGTGTTACCCTCTGATGCTGCCTCCCACTCTTAATGCCCTGAGAGTTCCTTGCATTTGCTCTCCTCTTCAAAAGCTGCACATTCTAGCATGCTGCTCTATAGGTTTCTGTGCCATACGGAGGCATCCACTGATCCGCTGATCAATATTTGAACTCTGTAGGAATCAAACTCATATTGCCAGCACTGCAACATTGATTTCAGGGTCTATTGACTCACCTTGCAGTATCTAAGTGAGGTATGGGATGCTGTGCAATCAGCATTTTGCCTTTTAAAAGGTTATTGTAGCTTTACTGTAATGAGATAAGAACGAATCATTAGTCAGTCTATCATATCCTGGCGCAGTATCGGACTCCAGGTGTGCGCGACCTGTCTCTTTGCTGTTTCAATGGATCTGTCAGTTTGACAGGCTCCATTTTGGTTCCCTGCTGTAGAGACTTAAATTATTCACTGGAGCGTTTTGCTTCACGCTTTCCCCCTCATCCCCTTCTGTGCGTGTGTGTGTGTGCGGGTAAAGAGGGGAAAGAGGAGGAAGGAGGGAGGGGGGTGGAACAGGTGTCTGCCGAGATCAGTGTATGGTACACACAGACGTCTCGTCTCGTCGACAGGGCTGCAGGGAAGAAAAGGCAAGAGTGAGTGGTGGGAGAGAGGCGAAGAGGAGGAGGAGGGTGAGTGTATGACAGAGAGGAGACGGGAGCGGAATGGATGAGACAGGGCTTTCGCCTGGGGAAAAGGACATGCAGAAGAGGGAGAGTGATGGAGGAGAGGAACGGAGTGGTGGCAGAGGGATAAATGCAGGTAACAGAGGGCGTAGTGGAAGACGAGTGGTGCAGATAAGTGAGGATAGAGAGGTGGCAGGAAAAGGTTTCCAATTAAAGGAAAAAAGGGCAGGAGAGGAAGGTAGGGAGTGATAATGATGCGATAGAGGGCAGATGTGGATGATAAGACGGAGAGGTAGATACAGGAGTTCTTCTTGAATAAAGGACAAGCAATAACTTCCACTTTTCTTTGCTTAACTCTGGTCTCATTTTTCCCGTCACCTTTACAGTACCTTTCACTCCCCTTCACCTTGTTTCACCGAGATGTCAAAGCTTTTTTTTCCCTGGCCGTCCACGCATTATTTTAAACACATCACCGCAATTCCAGAGCTGTCCCTGTGGTCATGAAAGACTTATTACGCTGGAAAGTGAAAGTTAATACATCTCTTGAATGTTAGAAATAGTCGCTTGATTGAAAAAAGAAAAAACTCACCTTGAGTTTATAAGAATACCTGCTGCAAGTGCAGAAAGTGAATAAAAATTCCACCATCGCGCAGTTGTTGAAATAAAGGACTGCATTCATGTAGTGCTAACAAGTGCCTACATGTCCTCCTCGTCCTCCTAGGCAGTGCTGATCATATTTAAGTTAAGATTATGTTACTGCACTGCCTATTTCTTGCCTAAAATGTTTTCAGAAACATATTTTAGTGCACTTTTTATCCGTAATAGCGAGAGTTTGTGAACAGGAAGTTGGCGCCATACTGTTTCCTTCACAGCCAAAACAGAGGCCGAAAAAACTGTGATTAAACAATGAACCAAAGTTCTGTCACTGCATTCTGTTTTTCACCTCAAATGTTTTCAGAAACGTGTTTTGGCTCACTGTTAAACTGTAATGCCACCATTGTGTCAAACCGAAAAGTTTGCATCAGCAGCAGTTAATTGTTCAGGCACAGTGCATTCTGGTTGTTGTAGTCCAGCCCAGTCTTGTTTTTACCCGCTGAGGAATATCTCAAAATGTAGGTCACTTCTGTCCTTCAGTACCACAGAGAAAATCATACATGCTCTTATATCCTCCCACCTTGATTACTGTAATGCCTTTTTCACCTGATTAAACAATCAATCTATACCTCAGCTCCAAATCGTTCAAAATTCAGCAGCTAGACTTTTGATCAAAACAAAATGATTAGTTGTCAACGATTAGATTAATTGCCAACTAATTTGATCTTCTATAAATCAGTTTGAGTTATTTTCAAGATAAAAAAGTTTAAGTTCTCTGATTCTAGCGTCTTAGGGCGCATTCACACCAGGATAGTCCAGGGGACTTGGTTCAATTTGGCAGGGAATGCTGGAAAATTTCACACCTCAATTTGGTTCAGTTCACTTTCACACTGCACTTTTTAAAGTGGACCAAACTGCCTGGACAACGTCACGCAGTTACGACAGCTGCTCATTTGGGGGCGGTACTGTCCGAAACGACCACTGACCAGGAAGAAAAAAAGCATGAAGAGGAAGAAAACCCTGCTCATTGATTGGCCAGGACCAAAAACGGAAATCCATCCCCTTCAGCCATCTTGGTCACCACAAAAACACCAAAATGCACTGCGCTGTACTTCAGTTCCTCTCTTTGGTTCACTTCCTCTCTTTGGTTTGCTGGATAGTCCGTTTGCATTTCCCACTGTAAGCAAACCGCACCAGGGTTCACTTGCAAGTGAACAGAGACCCCCAGTTTTCAAGGGGACCAGGGTTCGCTCGTTTGGTCCACACCAGAATTCAAATGAGCTCTGGTGCAGACCAATGAGCTCCACTCCAAACAAACTGAACTATCCGTGGAAGCAGACCAGGGTTCGTTTAAAGCGGACCAAATAGCACCATTGTGAATGCGTCCTTAAATGTGAATATTTTCTGGTTTCTCTCCTCCTCTATGACAGTAAGCTAAATATCTTTGGTTTGTAGACAAAACAAGACATTTGAGGACGTTGTCTTGGGCTTCGGGAAACAGTGATTCTGATTCATTCTGAGTTGCAGCCCTATTAAATCCTAAATTTCCTTTCATGTCTGCAATAATATAATGACATTTACTTAAAAATCACAAGTGACATATTTTAGTTTGCAAGATTCTTGAACCATATCGACCTGCAGGACTTACATATCTCACGCTCCTGCTCTTTCCTGTTATCTCACAGCTGTATTCATCTCCACATCACCTCCATTTCCTCAACCCACTCAATGATTAATTGCACTCATCAACATACGTCATCCAGCTTAATGTAACACTCTGCTTTGTTAAGCCATAACATTTTCTTCATCATGTTGTTGTTTTCATCCAAACTATAGCCCGGCACAATTAGCTGGAGGAAATGAGCTTTCCATATCTTTTGGTTCAGACCTCAATCACTCACGCAGCCATTCTGTGGGATACTATTTCTTGAAGATGACGGCAGTGCCAGGAATCGATTCTCGGATTTGTTACAGATGCTCTCAGTTTGCATATCTGTTGGAGCGTGTGAGTGTATGTCTGTGGTTAGCTTTGATGCAGATCAGAGAGGTGTGAGGTGGTTCTCTTGTTCTCGCTCCCTCTGCCTCTCTGCCAGCTGTGGGGTTGGTAGGGTTGCAGTCCAGATACAAAAGCCTATGTGCCTCTCCCATTGTTCTCGTCTCACGCTGTCATCAGGAGAAGCACGTATTTAAATAAGAGGTGCCCCCTGGATTTGGCAGGCTGTATTTGTGATTGTTGCGGGCTGAAATACCTGGATCACAGCTTTTCTAAAAAATTGCGATGAATGTTGGTATATTTGTAGGCATGCTTTTTTGAAATGAAAATATTTATGATACTTTCTCAGATTCAGAGCTTATTGTTTTGGGCATTCAGAGTTTCCCACAGTATTAGAATCTATTTTTAATGGTAAGGTGAGTGGAGGGTAGGGGGCAGTAACAGCTGATAGCCGACAATCAGCTGTTAATGCTGTTTGATGCAGCGCTGAAGGACAGTCCCCGAAAGAGTCTTTCCTCCTGCTCCCTGTGCCCTGTAACCAACACAGATCTCATCACTACTCGTCATATTTTTCTGCTTGGGCAGAATCCCTGCAGCAGCGGTTAACATCCCACACGGAGCTGTTAATCTCACACTGAAATGGCCTGACTCTGTCGTTAGACCTGTTAATGACCGTTGGGTAACATTAGCCAAGTGATGCTAACAGTGACCGGTGACAGTTAGCCCTGTCAATGTGTGTGTGTGTGACTTTGTCCCAGGTGCAGAGCTCTGGTCCTGCAGCAGTGGTCACATGATTATCAGACAGACAGAGTCTGAGCGAATCATTATGCTGCATGCTGCTCTACAATTACATGAGATGTGACTTGTTTTAAACAGTCGAATTTGCGCTAAAGTTGCAGTTACTGGACAAAATTGCAAGGTCGTGCAGAATTCACAGGGACTGGCTGAATTTGCCTTAATTGTTGCAATCACAACTTGAAACTGAAATGAACCTGAATAAGTGCAGTAACAATTAGTTGAAGGACAGAAAAAACATCAACAAAAAATGGTTATTATTGATTAATTATTTAAATAATTTATAAAGCAGGAATGACAAACAACTGCTGGTTGCAGTTTTTCAAATTAAAGGATTTACTGTTTTATATCATCATAAATGATAAAATTATCTTTAGGTTTGAAACTGTGCGTTGGACAAAATAATCATTTTGATTACGCCAGCTGAGCTCTGGGAAACCTGTGTTGGCAAACCTACAATGTCAAGACATTTTATGGACTAAATGAAATGTTGTTGGCCTCGTCAACATGGCTTCACTTATCAAGTGTTGGGCAGTAACGCATTACAGTAATAAAATTACCTTTTCCAGTAACGAGTAGTGTAACTAATTACTAATGAATTTCTGGAAATAATATTAACCAAAACCAAACAACTTGTTACAACGTTACTTTTGTCATCCCATCACTACTGACTTGAAATACAACAGTCACATCAACTGACTCATTTTAGTAATCACTGTGCTGCGTCATGAGGCAGCAAGCTAATACGAAACGCTCACCTTAGCGGTTGCTGCAGGTAGTCGGAATAAAACTTTTCCCACTGCGAAAAACACGTCCTCAAACCTCCAGTCTGAAACACCTCGGCTACTACGACCGACAACACAACACCGTGAAGCTCCAGGAAATACACCTCACCACAGGTGAGCTGTGCAGGTCACCTGTACTGTCCTGCACTGGCTAAAC